TCCGCGCTTGTCCAGGGGCGGCCACCGCGCCGGATGACAGCCACACCCAGTTTACCAATCTCTGAGGGGGTTGGGCGAGGAAGCGCTCCAAACGATTTCGCCCAGAGGGCTGGTCGGACTCTGGTCAGAACGCAACCCACGAGATATCCAGGGTTGTTTTTCCATGAGAATGGGTTCTCAGGGAGAGGTGCCCTGATGATTTTCCCCGCTCTCGGCCTCCTTGGGGGCGAGAAGGCGCAGGAGGAGCAGGAGGAGGAGGAGGCGGAGGAGGAGGAGGAGGAGGAGGAGGAGGAGGAGGAGGAGGAGAGGGGAGGATGAGGAGGAGAGGAGGAGGAGGAGGAGGAGAGGAGGAGGAGGAGGGGAGGAGGAGGAGGAGGAGGAGGAGGAGGAGGAGGAGAGGAGGAGGAGAGGAGGAGAGAGGAGGAGGGAGAGGAGGAGGAGGAGGAGGAGGAGGAGGAGGAGGAGGAGGAGGAGGAGGAGGAGGAGGAGGAGCGTGGTCTCTGTGACGCTCTGGGCCCTTCGTGGTCCTTGGCGAAGTCCCCGAAGCCTTCCCAGGACCCCTGGAGGCCTCCGCCCCCTCCCCCCCGGGTGACCTCGGTGGCCCCGCGGCTGGGGAGGGATGGGAGGATGAGAACCCAGAGATCCGACGCTCCAAAAGAGGAGGAGGAGGAGGAGGAGGAGAAGACGGCGGGGACGACGACGACGACGACGAGGGGGACGATGACGAGCACGAGGGGGACGAGGGGCGGGGGCCTCGTGGAAGGGTTCGCCCCCCTCGAAGCTCCGCGCCCCCCACGCCTTGCTCGGGGGTGGGCGCGCCCCCCCCTCCTCTGGGGCGGCGAGATTTTTGCAGTTTGGGTCGCCGGGGGCCCTCGTCAGGCCTCGGGAGCGTCCAGAAACGATTCAGAACGAAGAAACGGCCCCGGGGAAGTGGTCCGGACCTCCAAGGGCCCACGCATCGAACAAGTTGGAGTAGCCGGATGTCTGGGAAGCAATATCGTCGTCGACGGTGTTTTCCCCGTCGTCGCCTCCCTCTTTTGGTGTGGCGTGGTGCTGCGGTGCTTCAGGCAGCCGGCGCGGACGGTGTCGTCGTCGTCGTCGTCGTCGTCGTCGTCGTCGTCGTCGTCGTCCCACCCCCTGGGGGGGATCGATCCCATGGGGGGAGCCCCTAACATCCGCCGATCTGATTTTTCAATCCGCGGCTCCCGAGGTCCCGACCGTTTCCTTGTGGGCTCGTTTTTTCCGCCCCATGTTTATTTTGGATGGCCCTGGGCCCCAGTAACGGGTCCCAGAGGCCGAAACCAAAGAAAGACGCCGGGATTGACAAGCAGAAGAAGTGGCACGCATGCCCTGGTTATTGCACGAGGGAGGTCGAGGGCCATGCGAGGCCGGCCGAGGAGGGAGGGGGCTTCTCGGGGCCATCCTGGTGTTCTCCAGGGGCCAACATGACCAGCACGAGGAGGCAGGGTGTCAGGGGGGCCCCAAGGGGCGACGAGCGAGCGAACGAGCGGCTGCGAACAGAAAGGGCTCCGAGCTCCTAGAGCACAGCTGTGCAAGAGGACATCCTCGGCGACCTGGGGGGGCCGGCCGCTCAGTACCACATGCGTCTCCCCCACCCAGCACAGCGTTTCGCGGCCCCATCGGGAGGCCCAGCTAAGGCCCCAGTGGTGTGCACCACATGCGTCTCCCACCCAGCACAGCGTTTCGTGGCCCCATAGGGAGGTCCACCTAAGGCCCCAGCAGTGTGCACCACATGCGTCTCCCCCACCCAGCACAGCGTTTCGTGGCCCCATAGGGAGGTCCATCTGCGGCTCCAGTGGTGTGTACACCGACTCTCCCGTCCCCCCCCGCAGCGTCGCTCGGCGTTCTCAGGTGCAGCGTGATGCTCCGCAGAAGCAGCGTGGGCGGACGACCTCCTCTCGGCCCACCTGAGCTCTCGCAGGCCCTCCGCGGGCCTGCCTGGGCCCTCCCAGGCCCTCCATGGTGGACTGCACGCACGAGCGACCCTTCGCCGGAGAGTGACCTCTGGTGCGGGCCCAGTGCGGGCCCACTGGGGCCCCCCGCTGAATAATACGATGCGATGGCCGCGCGGCCTCCGCGCTTGGCTTCGGGCACCTCGCTCCTCCTCCTCCTCCTCCTCCTCCTCCTCCTCCTCCTCCTCCTCCTCCTCGGGGAGCCACCAGATGGGCTCGAGGCCTTCAGGGAGCTAAATCACATTTTAGTCACCCACGGTGCCATGGTCTGCTGCACCCAGTGTGGGGCCTCGGCGTCGGGGGAGGAGGGGTGGAGCGGTCGTTCGAATCTGAATTCGAAGTGTGCGGGGCCGTCTTCCAATCCTGCCACCAGGGCCAACTAAAAGCGGAAGGCCGACATGGTGCAGCGTGGCCGCCACCCCAAGACAGGGGCCCCGTTGTGAATGCAAATCTTTAAGATTTCGGTGTGCCGGTCCATCCGTGCAGATTTCGGTGTACCGGTCCATCCGTGCATTCTGGCTGTAACGACGCTACAGGGCGGCTGAGGGGCAGAGAGGCTGCACTCTTCACACCCGTGGCCCCCACTGGCCTGAACTCGTTCACCTTGAGGCATCGCCTCCCCCTCCCGCCTTAAGTGGCTAGGGGTTCCATGTTTCCAGGGTTTTTCGGTTTCTCGGAGAACTCCTGCTGGCTGCTCGCCTCCTCCTCCTCCTCCTCCTCCTCCTCCTGCTCCTCCTCCTCCTCCTCCGCCCCCGCCCCCCCCCAAAAGCTGCGCAGCAGGGCCCCCCCCTCTGCCTGGGGCCCCTCTCTCGCCTGCAGCCAGCGCGGGCCCACCCGAGGGCGCACCGCAGGCTTACTCAGGAGAGAAAAAACACACAGACACAATTCATCGTCGATTCCCCAGAAAATATGGGAAAATATGGGAAGTGGGGGGAAGACAAAAAATCCAGAAAATCTGGGAAATATGGGGAACCTTTTTAATTGTGTGTATTGATTTGTGTGTCCCAGGGCCCCTTCACTTACGCCGGGCCTTCCCGGGAGTCCCGGGCGCACCCCCGTCTGCCCAAGGGCCCGGGGCATGGCCTCGCTCGCAGGCGCACGGGCTCTCGGCCGGCGCAGCGGGGGCGGATCAGATGCCAATGCGCTCTCACACCAGCTACCTGATGGTGGCGACCAAGGCGGCGAGGCGGCCCGCCGGTGGCTGAGTGCGCCCGCGGTGCTGCGGGGCGGCTCTGGGCGCGCGCGCGCCTGGAGCCCAGCAAAAGACCGCCCGGTGCCCTCCTGCCTCCGGCGCAGAGGAGGAAGCCCAGACCCCCCCTCGCGTCGTGAACAGAGGCACGACGGAGTTTTTTTAGTTGTTTCTTTTATTGCAAGTTTGGCCTCGGTGCGCCCTCGCCGGCCCCCAGGACCGTAAGAAACGACTCAGGATGAAGAGCCGGCCCGGGAACTGAGTCGAGACCCTTTGGGGTCGACGCTGTAAGACAAACGTGGCGTCGGGCACGTGATCGTTTCTTTACTCATCATTGTTTTGCTGATCGGCGCGGGCTCTCTCCCCCCACGGAGTAGATCTTGGCTGTTTTCGGCCCCCGTTTCGAGCAGGGGGAGTCTCCCCCATAGGACGCACTCTTGCAAACAGTCGCATCACGTCGGCACCGGTTCGGAGCCAGACCCCCCCCCTCCCCCCCCCGCCCAATGCCGAAACGCCGAACAAGACAACGTTCACCAATGGGGCTCCCCCTCCCGCTCGCGCGCCAGCCGCTCCAGCCACCGCTGCCGCAGCTGCCCCAGGATCACGCCAGCTTCGGCTACACCTGCGAGGGACCCTTCGCCGGAGTGGCCCCTGGTGCAGGCCCGCTGGGGCCCCACAGAGGGCGGTGCGCGAGCAGCGGCTCGCGCGCTCGGGCTTGGCCCCCCCCTTTCCAGGGCTTGCTTCGATTCCTCCGATTCGACGATTCGATTCGTTTCGATTTCGATGGCTTCCGATTCCAGTTCGATTCGATTCGACTTGGGATCCCGATTTGGGTTCCGATTTATCACTGGACGCAATACTAGCCTGCCGATTTCCGCCGATTCGACTTTCCCCGACTCGGCTGCCGATTTCCGCCGATCCGATTCATGTCGATCGCCGATCCGACTTATCGATTCGATTCTGGGCTCTCCTGCCTTTCGGGTGCTGCTAGAGGTGCCCCTGGCCCAAGGTGCCCCCAGCTTTGCGCTCCATTCTGGAGCCCCCGGGCCCTCTGGGCCTCGTGAGGGGTGCTCTGGAGGCCGTGGGGGCCTCCTCGACACGCCTGGGGGCACCTTGGGCCAGGGGCGCTTCTGTCAACACCCGACCCCTGCCCGCGACCCCGGAACACCGCGCATCATCGCAGGGCCACTCTTGCGCAGGGCCGCTCTTGCGTGTCGCCGGTGCTTGATGGTGGCGATTTTCAGCAGGGGAAAAAAACACAGACACAATTAATCGTCGACTCCCAGGAAAATATGGGAAAATATGGGAACTGGGGGGAAGACAGAAACCCAGAAAATATAGGAAAATATGGGGAATCTTTTTATTTGTGCGTATCTATTTGTGTGTCCCAGGGCCCCTTCAGTGTAGCCGGTGCCTGATGGTGGCGATTCCCCGGCGGGGAGATGCTGCCCGCCGGCGGCCGAGAGCTCGCCGCCACTGTTGCAAGGCGCGGGCCCCGGGCGCCTCGGCATGGCTTTCTGATGGTCTGTTTTCCTGTGGCCTCTCTGGCCTGCCCTGGTGCCGTTATGGGCTCGGTCGGGGGCAGCTGGGCACCGACCTCCCCGTCCGATCCTCCCCCTCGTCGTCGTCCTCGTCCTCTTCCTCCTCCTTGTCCGATCCTCCCCCTCCTCCTCCTCCTCCTCCTCCTCCTCCTCCTCCTCCTCTTCCTCGTCTCGCTCCTCCTCCTCGTCATGCCTCCTCCCCCGCCTCTTCCTCTTCTCTTGTTCCTCCTCCTCGTCCGATTCTCCCCCTCGTCGTTGTCCTCCTCCTCCCCGCCAGACCGCAGGGATTCTGGCCCTCAGGCCAGATCTGGCGCGGCACCCTCCGAAGGCGTGCCCGCATGCGCCTCGCGGCACAGGCGGCGGCCGCGATGCCGTGCGGGCAGCGAGAGGTGCTGTCACCCAGGAGTGCAGACGAGAGGCAGCCCATTCTGGTTCGGGACGTGCAGGGCCCCAAAGCCTCGGATCTGAGCGTCGCGCAGCAGAAAACACGGCGGGCGTGTCTCTCTTCGTTCCCGGCCCCCGGGGTCCCGACGGATCGGCTCGGCTTCAGAGAAGAGTGCCTCGGGAGGAGTTGGCTGGTGACTTCCGTCCACGTTGTATCGTGGGTTGTTGTTGACGACGTCGGATCTCCGGAAAAAGAGACGCCATTAGCACCTCTCCTCTCCCCCCTACTGGAAGGGGGGGGTATGGGAGAGATGAGGAGGGAATTTTGGAGGAGAGCACGGCGGACGAGATTTTGACGAGAGGGTTTTAATAATGATACCAATAATATTTAGACTACGGATCATACTGACAATACTATTACTGATACTAGTAAGAATAATATAATAGTAACATATTACCACGCAAAATAATATAGGTAATCCGACTAATCACAATAACAATAATAATACGAACACAAAGAAGATGATTAGGAGGAGGAGGAGGACGAGGAAGATAATGAGGATGAGGAGCAAGAGCAGGAGGAGGAGGAGGAGGATGAGGAGGAGGAGGAGGAAGAGGAAGAGGGGGAGGAGGAGGAGTTGGAGGAGGAGGAGGAGAAGGAGGGGGATGATGATGATGTATGCTCGTGTTGAAGAGGATGAGAGGAGGGGGAGGAGGAGCGGAGGAGGAGGAGGAGGATGAGGAGGAGGAGGAGAGGTGCAGGAGGAGGAGGAGGAGGAGAGGAGGAGAGGGAGGAGGAGGAGGAGGAGGAGGAGGAGGAGGAGGAGGAGGAGGAGGAGGAGGAGAATAAGAAGAATAAGAAGAAGAAGACGAATAAGAAGACGAAGAAGAAGAATAATAAGAAGAAGAAGAAGAAGAAGGAGGAGGAGGAGGAGGAAGAGGAGGAGGAGGAGGAGGAGGAGGAGTGTTGTTGTTTTTGTGTTATGGTAAACATTGCGCCACGCAGGTTCAGGTCAGGCAGCACTGGCAACAAGCCAGAGCTCATAGAGCTTTGCTCCCGACCCGGGAAGTAGGCCACGTCGCATACGGGATAGGACGTCTTTGCCCGCCCTGGTCGGGGGCTTAAGCTGCACCAGGAACTTGCGGGCACAGACAATCAGCACAAACAGACAGACTTCCTGGTTCAGCACAAACTTCCTGGTTCAGCACAAACAGATAGATCTGCGCGCAGTACAAGACAGAACGCCTCTGATGACCTCCAGGGTGTGGGAGGGGTGGCAGTCAGCAACTCGAGGATGCCCACAAACGCCCCCGACAGCAAGGCGCGGGTCCACGCGACCAAGGTGGAGGTCGTCCTCACGGAGGCGAGTGAACGGTCCAGAATCACCCGTAGGATGGCAAACACAGGGCCAGGAAAACGAACGGATGCAGCGAGAGCACCACAAAGCAGTGGATTTCACCAGAGGCGCATGCCCATTGGCCGTGAGACGATTGTAAAGAACGTCCACCCATCGACCACCACCACGCTTCCGCCGCACAGACAGGTCAACTCGGGGTGATCTTGGGCGGATAGGAAAGCAAGTCTTCCCTCTGAATGGCATGCAACCGTCGGATAACTTGGGGTGCTAGAACATCCGCATCATGAGTAAGCTTAGCAATACTAGCAGGAACAGCGTGGGCTACAGCGCCATTGGAAGCAAACACAATCAACACGGTTGAGGTACAGGTCTCCAGGTCTCAAACTTAGATCTTGGATCTGAGCTTGGGTGGGGTGAGCCTTGGCCCACAACAACTTAGCCGTGCCTGGCTTCTGGGAGAGAGCATCATGCGCACGGGCCTACAAGTCGAGTATCGATGATTTTTCAGCGCGCACACGGGTCGGCGAACGTTTTCGACCACCATCGAACAATCCGAATACACAGCAATCTCACCTTCAGACCGTTCCAGTAACTGTACGAACTCATCTACTTCACCACGGGGTGAAATCTGCTTGATTGCGGGTAGGGCGCCGAAGGCGAGAGTTTCAAGACCACCATCAGGCTCACGAGGGCATATAGACCACCCACACCTCCTTCGCTTCCAATCCTCAGCATGCTCACCCCCAGATCCATCGATCCCCCAGCTCCCCGCACAGACCGTAACTTCGGTCCTGCACAGGCCCCAGGTCCAAGCAAGGTCTCCAGGAGGGGGGACGTGAGATGAGGAAATGGGGAGGGGCATCAAGCCCCTGAGCCAGTGACGAGACAGGTGCTGCTTAGAAACTGCACTCTCACGAACCCGTTCAGTTTGTGTAACTTCCTGATCGGGCACATCAGCACTGCACTGGCACTGCCAGAACCTGTGGAGTGGGGTCTCCATAGTTACTCCGCACCTCTGGCACAGGCTTCCTTGAGCCGAACAGCATCCTGAATCAAAGGGATGAGCTTCAGTCCAATATGCACCTGAGGCGATGTTGCGAGTCACGCTTGCAGACTCTGCCCCGCCATTATGGGACATGTTGGCGAGGACACCCTGGACCCTAGAAAAATCAATGGCCTCCTGAGAGCCTTCACCCAGGTACTAGTCAGAGGTGCGTTCCCAGGGGGTTTTGGCAACGACGCAAAAGAGCAGTCAAACAGGCATGGGGGAAAACATGATCAGTGATACGAAGCACGGTGGAGGAGAAGTGAAAGCGTGAACCAGCTTAAGAGAGAGACAGAGAAAGAGAGAGAGAGAGGGAGAGAGAGAGAGAGAGATAGGTCGAGTGTTCACGACTAGGCCAGAGCTCGGGGTCATCCTTCGGCGCAGAAGCAGGAGAAAGGACCCTCCAGCCGACCGCCCCGAGCACCGGCCAGCCTGGGGGCGCACAGGTTGCACGTGAGCGGGGGAGAGGCCGAGGGCGTGGTGCCCCCACGGTCCGACAGCCAGGACTCCAGGTTTGTATCGCTTGGAGGCTCTGCCATCTAGCTTACAAAGGTACTGGACCTTCCTGGCCTTCTTACGAACCGCCTTCCTACGCGCCTTGACCTTAGTGGTGGTGCGACGACGCCCAGCAGTCCTCAGGGTGCCCTTATCAGAAGGGAGGGAGCGGACGGTAATGACGGCAGCCTCGAATCGAGTAGGAAGCGCATCACGAAGCGAAGCGTGCGAAGCAATACATCCACTCCTAGCAGAAATCTCACACTCCAGGCATTCAAGCCCATGGCCCATGGCAAAGCGCAATGCTGGCAGACACTTAGGAATTTCAAGCGTCATTAGCGTTGGCCCTTTGCTGGGTCTGGGAAAGGTCGTCAACACATGAGCGGAGACTCACACATCGAACACCGATGGTTACGCTGGGCGGTAGACCTGATATCGCAGAGATGCACCTTAACTCAAGGCATAGGCTGCGTGCATCCAGCTAAGATACCTGATCCCTCAGGAATGAGGAGTGCATCCTTCAGAAACCTCAGCAGTGCGGAGGGAGGTGTGGACCAACAGTCCGAGGTAGAGCAATGGTCGGGGGGATTGTACCCAAGCTCCGTGCCGACATTGACCAATCGGGCAGGGTCGACGGAGTCCAAACTTGGTGTGGTCTCAATTGAGGGCGGCAGAATACCCCCCGAGGCACATCGTAAGCTCGTACCTCGCGGCCAGCCTCTTGAAGGAGGGCAGCCAGGAGAGCACAACCTGCCACGTACGGCATCGTCCGAAAAAGGCAGGGCGACAGGACGTCCGGCTGCCAGGGTCGTGGCCTCGCACTGCGACCGTACGAACGGTAAGTGGTGGGGCACTTGCAGCTTCGGGGGTGGACAGAACCCCTAAGAGTGACACGTCGATTAGTGAATTGTCCGTTTTCGGTTCTCGAGAGGGCGCCGTGGCCGTTATTTTCCAGGCTTGCGCCCGCCAGGTTTGGGCCTCAGGTCGTTTTCACTAAACCACGTTTTACTAAAGGGGGGTCTGTCCATCCCCGACAACTCGGTCTTTCAGATGCCACGGTCTTGGGGAGGAGGCCAGCCACCCCCTAACAGAGCCTCGGGCAGGCCACACCTGGGCCTTTTTCACAAGGGGTTGTACGCTTCGGACAAAACCTCGTGGGCGCGCACGGAGAAATCTCGGAAAGCACGGGCAGCCCACGGATGAACTCCCACATCGGTGTTGTTGGACAAGAACAACAACGCCTCGCGCCACATCAGTAAGGAGCCGTCAGAGGTTCCAACTCCTCAGCAGCATCCTGGGCAATGGGCCGCAGGTCCGAGAGAGCCTCACTAAAGGCCTGTCGCTTGATGTCGTTCGCAGTCCAAAGACCCCTCCCCAATCTGTTTTTCCATGCTGCATGAGGTCCATGAGGTCTTCAGGGAGTCGCATAATACGATTCGGGATAACACGACACATTCAAGTGGCTTACGCCATTCCGCTGACCTCCCAGAAGGAGCGAGTGCTTGCGAGGATCTTGGAAGTTATCTGGTGGGTCAGGAGCTTCTTGGATGCATGGGGGGGGGCTCGTGAGATGCCTCTCAAGGGGCCTCTTGGAGGGCTCTTGGGGGCATCTGGGGTTCCTTCTGGGCTTTCTTGGGGGCCTCCTGAAGGCTTTTTGGAGACCCCTCGGGGGCCTCTTGGGGCCTCATGTGGGCGCCTCGGGGGCGTCGTGGGGGCTCTTAGGGCCATCTTGGGGAGAAGACTCGAAATATGTCAGTTCGTATTCCCCTTCTTTGGCCCCCCTTACGGCTCCCTTGAGGCTCTCTTGGGCCGTCTTGGGGTTTTCTTAGGCCGTCATGGGGCTCTCGTGGGGGCCTCATTGGCCGTCTTGGGACGATCTTTGGAAACCCTTGGGCCGTCTTTGACAGTGGCAGGACGAAGAAGGTGAGTATGCGAAACATGTGCATGTCCCGATGGGAGTGGGACGATTTTCGCTTCTGGGGGCCCTCTCGGCGGTCCTCTGGGAGCACTTTTGGGCCTTCTTGGGCGCTTCGTGGGCCATCTCGAAGCCATGTAGGGTCGTCGTGGGGGTACTTTTGGCGATCTTGACGCTTTTTGGAACTGTTTTGGAGCTGTTTAGGCGTTTTGTTTTGGACCTCATGCGCCGTCCTGGGGTTCGGGAAAGGCTCCGGAGGCCCTGGGGATGCGTTTGAGAGCTCGTCCCCCTTCTACAACCCCGTCAAAGGGCATTTTGGACCCCAGGGGATGGGGAGCCGGGGGAGGGGCACAGCCAAACGTCTCACACGCTTTTCGCCCCCAGCAGGCGAGGGTCGGCGGATTCAATCTCCTCCGCAGTGTCCTTGACGTAGTCCTAGCAGGCGGTGCTTCGTCAAGCTCTTGCTTTCGCGCTTCTTCCCCGCAGCTGCCACGCTATCCGGTATAGTCTGCGCAGTCCTGTGAGCACCCAGGAGCCCTCCGATCCCTGACCTACAAAAAAACCTCCGCAGTGTCATGCCTGAGCCAGGCATGTACCTCACGAGCACCACGCCTCCTGCCCGTCCTCAGGAGCAGCACGAGCGGCCGTCCGGGCCAGTGATGGAGGCATCGCGCAGATCCTTAGCAGCAGCAGCAGCAGCCGCGGCCCATCTTTGTAGGGGAGGGGCGCTAACTCAGCTCGCCACCACGCAGCAGCTCGAGGAACCTCTTCGGGCATCGTGCGGTCAATGGAGGGCGCGAGCCGCGCAGGATGACCGCGTAAGACACCATGGCGTGCATACCCACCGCGGCGTAGCACAAGCTGGCACTCAACCATTTTCAATTGTATAATTTCCAAACGCAGAGAACAGCATTCTGAACATTTTGTCGGATGATGAGGAGGAAGGAGGAGGAATCTGATGATGCTGGTGATGATGCTGATGCTGCTGCTGCTGATGATGATGATGATGATGATGATGAGGAGGAGGAGGAGGAGGAGGAGGAGGAGGAGGAGGAGGAGGAGGGGGAGGACGAGGAGGAGGAGGAGGACAGTCGAGACGCTGAATTATGGGCCAGTTTGGGCTAAAGAGTGGCTCTGGCTTTGGGCTGTTCCTTAGATCTAGGTCGGGGATCCTACTCGTGGCCAGAGCTTGCCAGGGCCAGAGTAACCCCTTCGTTCCATATTCGACGTCCCTCATTTTAGCGCGATTGTTGTAGGGAGTGAGCAGACCGGAGAGGAGGGAGGACGAGGGATGTACAGGTGGTGCATTTTTTGGGGCCCTCGCAGGACGTGGTGAGCACGGTACCTGGCATAGGGGTACGGCAGATTGCCGTGGCATTGTCGCTGGGCGCGTGCTGCGCAATGGTCGCGGCATTCCACGGCGCCCGATCGATGGGAATGCATAGGCACCAGCGGGCAGGAACCGAGCAGTTGCTTATCGAGGTGCTCCTCCTCCTTTTCCTCTTCCTTTTCCTCCTCCTCCTCCTCCTCCTCCTCCTCCTACTCTCCATCCGTAGCCATTGTGGCGCAAGCGGATGCTGCTGTATTGCCCCTGTGTTCTCTTTTCTTCTGATGTCGTCGCCAATGGATACTCGCGAATTGGTCTCTGCTCTTCGCACTCGGCTGCTGCGGGGCCTGGCAAGCGCCCATGGGACGCATTTCCAAGGTTTATCTGCGGCAGCTCGTGCATCACCTGACCTGTCGCCCAAGTTACGCAACAAGATGATCAAGATCGATTTTGCATACCATTTGTGCGAGCATATCACACAACAGAGTATCGCAGATTTCATCGTGGAAGTTTTTGGTTCCGAGCAGAGTTCCGAGCATGACTTTCTCATTGGGCCATCTGTGGCGGCTCCGCGGTATCGACCTCGCCCGCCAGCTGCTGGTCTGGACCCGACGGCCATTGATTTTGTACCCCAGACGCTGTCTTGGAATGGCAGCGCCCGTCCCTCTGCTCAGCCGGCTTCGTATCAAGCCACTTGGTCTGTCCCAGAGGCTTTGGCGTCTGCTCAAACTGTGTATGATTCACAACTTCTCGCGTATTCTAACCTGGTCGCCGACCAGAATCACACGATCGCCAAGCTCCAAGGGACGCTGGATAAACTCGGGGAAGCGCCTCATGCTACAGTGTCTTCTGAAGAATGTGCTGCTGCCCCTGCTAAGGTGGTGCCGTGCGGTACTGAGGATGTGAGTGCCGAGAGCAGTCCCTCTGCCGCCTCCTCTGGATCAGACGCGGTGTGGGACGAGATCGACATTGTCAGAGATGGGATTGAGGGAGTCAAAGCCCAGCTCGATGATCTTGCCTGCCGCTTTGATGGCAGACTCAAAGCTACGGTCACGGAACTCTCCAATTTTGTTGTCAAGACTGTTCGTGAGGCCGTCCCTGCAGCGCTCAAAGCTCAGAATGTTCCTATCCTGAACACCTTGGACCTGCTGACGACGCAGCTTGCCGACCCGCTCCAGAAGCTCGATGTGCTGCAGACCCAAGTTGCTGAGCTGGACGCTTTGGTCAAAGGCACTCGCCGTATGGCGCCCGCTGCTGCTGGCCCTCGGCCTTCTGATGATAGCACTGCGGATTTGGTGTGCAAATATGGACGGCGCTGCCACCGCTTGGACTGCGTCTTTCTTCATCCTGAGGGCCGCCTTATCGAGGACACCCAAGAGACCGCCAGGCCGGCCCCCGCTCCTCGCGAGCGGGGCGTGCCACGTGCGGCAAGTGCTGAAGCCCCTCGGCATGCTAGCGGTGGCCCCACCAAGATGGAACCACCTACGTCGCCTATCGACTACGGCCGCTTCGAAGATATCGTGCTGGAGGATGCCATGGAGGAGTTCCTCACCATGCGTGGCCCCTCGCCTGCTGAGTGGCCTGGCGGGCACATGCTGTCGAGTTTGCCTCCTGAACCAGATGTTGACTGAGGCTCAGGACTGGGCTCTCTGCTGCTGGTGGAGCGCCTGCCACTCCTCGTGGTTCTTGCCATCGGCGGCTTCTGGTTGCAGTCGTGCGCCGCCCTTGTCGCCGCCGCCGCGACGGCGCTCCCGTGTAAGACGTTTATTATTAAGGCTTCCGCCTTCACTGAGCCATCCCCTCGGATCGCGGATCTTCTGTGGTTCGGGTGTCGTGGACTTTGGGACTCTTTCTTTACGCTCGTCTCCTCCTACTCTCCAGGCCGCTGGCTGAGGTTACGAGCATAGCCCGACGGTACCTCATGTACAATTGTACACCAGTGACTTTGCGCCCCCACCTGTAGACCCGAGGGGCAAGGGGGACTGGGGCGCAGCCATGGCTCTTGTCTGTTTTCGCTTCCCATAACCATGCGCATATGCTATTACACCCCCCCGGAGGCGGGCACACTAGAGCGTCTTGAGGACATAATTGGTGAGCTCTGTAGTTTGGACGTGATCCTTATCAGTGACACGTGTAGATGGGCGGGACCAGAACCACACCACAGAAATGGGCTTCCCTACCACGATGTTCTACAGTTTGGGACAACATAAGGAAAGTGGACAAACAAAAGCTGCAGACTCGCCATGCTATTGAGCCGCAATCTAGGCAGTACCGTACTGCGCAACATCCACACCCCACCAGGATACCTACAAGGCAAAGTGGCAGGGTTGAGGCTTACGGCTCCGACCTGCGACGATGCACTGTCCGTGTGCTATTATGCCCCCACCCATGTGAAGTACTATCCTACACCAGCAGGGGCCATCAGCAGAGGCCATCAGCAGATGGCTCGAGCAACAGTTCGATAAATAGGGTGCAGGACTTCGATTGTGGTAGGGGTGCGTCAACACAAATTTCGGATGCCAGCGAGAACTGCACGGAGGGGTGACCTGTAGCAAAGGCCCCACTGTAGGAGGAGCGCTGCCGAAGGTCGAGAACTCCAAATGGCAGAGCTTTCGGGAGATGTGTGTAGGCACTGGCCTCAGAACAGTTACGATCCACCGCTCCGATGGGCCCACGTGCTACGGACACTCAGGGCGCACTGGGAGGGTGGACCATATTGCCAGTGCCGACGGGGCTCCTGGTTTTGCCAAACAGTGTGTTACGTTGAAGGGCGCGGGTAAGCGCCTACAGAAGATAAGAACCCGTGGGCGCCGTAACCATGTCCCCGTAGGCTTCACCCTCCTCCCCAACCGCCCTCGCTCCTCCGCTCCCGCGGCCGCGCGCCGACAGCAGGGGCGGTGCAGAGACGGGCTCATGGAGTGCGTCAGGAGAGGGCACAAGAGGGTGCAGCTTTTCGGGGCCATCGACCACTAAGTCAAGAACACGGGGGAGGCGGCATGGGGAGCGACGCTGGCGGAAACGACGCCAGACAGTGCGTGGGACTTATTGGGAGGGGCGGCGAGGAGGGGCATGTGCAGCACTTTCAGTGAGAAAGGCGACCTCAGCGAATCCGACCTCTTATTTAATAGTGCCCGAGAGCACCGGCTATCAATCCGACTATAGAGACGGGACGTGCGAGCGCGGCTGAATGACGGCTGTGGCCCGGACACATACCGAATACAAGAGGAGCTAAAACGTTACAGCCACGCTCAATCATGCGCGGTACCTAGTAGCGAAAGAGCGCCGTGCGAGGATAGTCAAGCTCATCTGGCAGGCGTACGAAAGACGCAACTTTGCCGATACTCACCGCCTCAGGGCCCAGCGCCAACGCACTTCGAGGACCCACTACACGCAATTACCTAGAGCCCAAAACCCACTGGCCGCAGGAATTCTGGGTGCAGGAACTGGGGCGCCCAGACCTGGCTCCTCCTCGACCCCTCTTCCCACCTCGAAGACCCAGCGGCCCTCGGCGAGCGGCTTGAACGGCAGCGAATGGGGGCGGCCGAGGAGAGAAACGACGATGAAGATTTAGCCCACTACGCCACCCTAGGTGGGTTTGGGAAAGGGGAGATCAATTCTCAAAACCAAGTGGCTGGACGAGCGGCATGCCGTTGGGAGGGAGACGGCAGCAGTGCGACGTGGACAGCTTCCACCGACTATGGGCAGAGAGGTCCTGCGCTGCGGGCACGGGGAAGTGCGCGGGATTGGGCGCGCCGAAGCTCGAGGAACTCACGTATGAGTATCAAACAGGCCTTGGGAGATGTCTGGAGGAGTGCCGCAGAGCGCAGACTGCCCCGCGCGACTGGCGCCGTCCCCAGGCATTTCCAATGGACAAGAACAGTAGCAAAGACGGGATTCTTGGGAAACGGACACTGCATGTGTACGATTCTTTCAGCACGGCTTGGCACTCGGGCATCCAGGGGAGAGGGCAGCCATCTAAGTGCCCTCCGTGGGCGCAAGGAGGCCCCCCCCCCCATCGGCGCTGTGAGAACGCTGCCCTTTGCGCGCGTGCAGCGCAGTGGCGCTCGCGACAGGGGCGTGTCAGTGCAGTCGCTGCGGATTGCGACGGTGCGAACGCACCTGCGGCCCCGCGCAGGGCATTGCTACGCGCAGTCGCCTACAAGCACGCGCGCGAACAGGACCAGCGGCACGCGATAGCAGCCATCGACCACTCTTCTCTCGCGTTGGAAGCATCCGATGGCGTCGTCGAAGCAGAGAGCCCGAGCGGATCACATATGGTATTTACATTCTGCCCACGCCAGGTCAACGACGCATGCAACCTCTCGTCGCCATGTAGTCGCAGGCGGAACGTGAAGACGCCAGCTACTGTGGCGCTCAACGCCTTGATGGGCGACATCACACGCGCCCAGAACTTCTGTCAGTCACGGCCCACAGGACATATAACGCCTCGCTGCCACATCACGATTGGCAGACGCACTTGCGCAGGGAGGGTGGGGCCTCAACCGCGGCAAAACAAACTGCCTCGTCGAATCAGCAGGCCTTGGCAGCTACGCAGCCACGCGCGCGCTATGGCGCGGCAAGAAGTTGCAGGGGGCAGAGCTACGAGGGATGCTAGTATTGGGTCCTCACCTGCCTGCAGGTCAGGGCCTGTCTGGGGAAGCCGGTCGGCGGATAACAGCTGTGCGAGTTGCCCGTGGGCAATGTGGGGCCTTCTGGACACCAGATACGGCCCGGCAAGCAAACGTCTGGTGTTCGTGGCGTCTGTCATGGGCGCGGTGCCCAGCGGCCTCGACCCCGTCCCGCTAAGTATTGATCGCGCGGGCGCCCTTGACAGCATGCACGCGAAGTATTTTAGGACGCTTGCAGGGGGGCCATGTCATGGGAAGGGGGGGGGGGGCGGGCAGGCGATGTGCAGCAGTGCAGCTCAGGTGTTCAGGTGCTGGCGTCTTGAGCGGTCCGCAATTTCACTTCATGTTCGGGCGCTGAGTTGGTGCTGGAGCTGGGCCCGCCACCCGCGTGAATATGGGGCCGTGCTTGAAGCGGTCTTCGGCGCGTCCAGGCTAGGCGCGAGTCGGCGGATCGATCGACTCAGGGAACGCAAATTGACGCGTGCAGATTCTTCACCGCGCGCACAACAGTATCTGGCCGATATGCA